ATATATATATATAAATATAAATATATATATATATATATATATATATATATATATATATATATATATATGTATATATATAAATATATATATATATATATATATATATATCTATATATATCTATATATATATATATACATATATATATATAATATATATAGATAGATATGCTCATATATATGTATATTCTTATTTATAAGTATATATATACGTATATAAATATAAATATATAAATATATAAATATATATATATATATATTTTGTATATATGTAAGTACAAAGATAGCCCGGACCTACCCAGATATTGAACGACACAGCTGTAGCACAGCGTCTCTCGATGGTACCGAACTTCCTCCAAACATCATATTAACATTGTCGGCCAAGCGTGCAGCTGACCGCGACAGATACACATTCTCAAATCGCTTTAACCCCTCCGTAAGCATGTCCCTGAGCACAGCATGTCATAGAACGAGTGAGAGAAAACACACACGCAGCAGTGAACGGTTAAACGCAGTCAGTGCGACACACACATCCTCAAAAGCGTACGCATACGGAAAAGGAATGGATGCTTGCGAAAAGGTGATCGCAAATGGCAACGTCAGCATGCGTGTGTGTAGTGTTACTGCCGACACCTTAAGTTGTGATAGTTAATCCTTGATTAGTGTAATTGGTGATCGAGTACATTGCTGTTAATATATGCACGTTTTTGAATGTGTATACACGTACGTATTCATCAATAATCTCCCAGGCATAGGTGTATATGTGCATACAACTCAGGAATCTTGTGCAACGGAAGTACTGTTTCGCAACTGAGCAACGGTCGCATGAGCGAACACACATCTGGCCAATATATATATATATATATATATATATCTTAGATATGCATGCACAAGCGTACCTGTATATATATACGTATATATACAAATCGCAACAATCCAGACATACTCCTGAGCCGGTTGTAGGGTTAACATCCTGGTGTGCAGTGTATTGCACAACCCCAGTAATCGCGGCACTTCACTCTCGAAGAAGAAAGCTAGAGATGAAGAGTCGCGCGTTTGGTTGTTGACTTCCCGGATGAAAGATGCGGTCACATTCACCCAGAAGAGTTGGAGCAAGTTTTCTTTGGGGTCCTAATTATTATGGATAGATTTTGTGATATGGCAATTGTCATGTGTGTGAATGGGAAAAGTTATAACAACCTGTGGCATACCCTTACGAATTAAGACGGTAACTTTGCATGCTGTGTTGTAAAGATACATGCATATATATATATATATATATATATGTATATATATATGTGTGTATGTATGTATATCTAATATTAACCAATATGTGTATGTACAATACTCCTGGATACAATCAAATCTAGCATACCTTGCGCACTGTGTCTATAAAGTAAACATATGTAGAAGGATCCCGCTTCTTCTCCAGTATACCCACTAGGAGATGCACTTGCAGGTATACGTTAAACATCTCATCGAACAGTCGGTCGATAGCTGCCCAAATCTCGGCACGTGTGTTTGTCGCGCCACTTGCATTGGCTGCGTATGTCCAAATGGGTCGAATACAAATGAGATATATATA